GGTTGACTAATGGATTAATGGACGGATTATGTCCAATGGATTCCGGCTACAGGCAAAGTGAAAGGTTTGAGACTACGGTTGCAAAAATAAAAGGTTAAGGTATAGTCTGGGACCTCCGCTGCAATTTTACTCTTTTAATATGATCACGAGAATTCAAGTTATATTTGTTTATTTGATAATAGGAAAACTTGGTACGTTATGGTCCCATGGGTACGACCTTTAAAATAATTGATATATTTTGTAATACGTATCTTCTTCAATTTTGTACCATTAATTATTGTTAATTTTTCTTTACTTACTAGTACTTCATATATTCCATAATTATAATGATCAACAAGGATCATGAGCAAAAAGATAACTCATTTTGGAATATATAACAAAATATGTAATCTCTTATGAGCAGTCATTTGTTGATAGTTCAATCGGAATTTCTATACGAAGTCTAATTAGATACTCTTAAATAATTATAGAGGTAATATTTAAACAAATATTACTTTTATTAAAAGTTGGTTCCCATTTAATAAAATGCTAATTTTTCATAAACAATTTATATAAGTAATATAATTATTGTTAGAATTTGGGTGTGATCCGAATTTCTTGTTTGAAGTATTGAAGAATTCTAACTGTAGTGAGCATCAAGAAGAATTCAAGTTTGGAATGCTATTGGAGTCATATATCAAATTGAATTTCTATTTTGAAAGGTCATTAGGAGTCGAAAATTGATATTAAACTTGAAGAATAGTTAGGAATGGAGAAAAGTACTTTGGAAGCATATTTTGGAATATTAACCTGAAACCTAGCAACTGAGCGCTGTTACAGTACCTGATCGCGATTTTTCTCTCCTACTTCATTTTGAACTCGATTTTTTGGTATCCTACTTCATCAACAACTCTACTAAAAGGGTTTGGATATCCTCTACATGTTCCCTATAAATACTAGGCTCTTGTATACAATTTTTGTAAAAATAGATTACTAGAATTATAGGATTTATTGTAATTTTCTCTCTTCTCCATTATTCTTAATGCAATAAAATCTTTTAATTCCTCTGTCATATTCTTGTCTTCTTTTATTCTTTTATTTGATCATATATTTCATTATTATTTGTCATATAACTTCAACATCTCAATCCGGTAATTGACGTCACAACAAGTGGTATCAGAGCCAAAACTCAGCAGTTCCACAAGAGCGTATGGTTTGATTTGTTAGAAGTTTTTTTTTTCGTGATAGTTTCCATGAATTATGACATTCTACTTTTGGATCGAAACACTAGATTTTCGCTATGACAGGTTAAGATGCGTGCAGTGCTCGCACAGCTGGATTTGGATGATGCGCTGCTGGGTATTGATAGGATACCAGCAACTTTGACCGCGGAAGAGAAAAATACTTTATTACTTTGTCATATAAATTCAACATCTCAATGCCGTGATTGGTGTCACAACAAGTGGTACCAATCCTAATAAGTGGTATTAGAGCTAAGGTTCAGCAGTTCTGCAAGAGCGTAGGGTTTGATTTGTTCAAAAAAAAATTTGTGATGGCTTCCATGAAGTATGGCATTTCGCTTTTGGATCGAAACCCTAAGATTTTCGCTATAGCATGTTAAGATGCATGCAGTGCTCACACAGCTGGATTTGGATGATGCGTTACTGGGTATTGGCAGGATACCAGCAACTTTGACCGCGGAAGAGAAATTACGGAAGGATAAAAAGGCAGTTTCTCACATTCATCTTCATCTATCAAACTCCATTATTCAGGAAGTTTTGCAGGAGAGGTCATCAACTGCTTTGTGGTTGAAGTTGGAGCAATTATGCATGACCAAAAGTCTTACAAGCAAATTGCATCTCAAATAGCGGTTATACTCTCATCGCATGGCAGAAGAAGGATCATTAGAAGATCACCCGGCTGTATTTAAGGAGATCGTCGCTGATTTAGAAATATTGGAAGTTAAGTATAATGAAGAAGATTTGGCCTTGATCCTATTGTGTTCGTTGTCTGCTTCTCTTTCTTCATTTAGAGAGACGATTTTATATAGTCATGATACTCTCACCATTGAGGAGGTTTATGATGCTTGTTTTAAAAAGAGAAGATGAAGCATCTGGTTTCCGAGACTAGAGATGAAGAATGCCTGGTAGCTCATGGTGGTTCTGGAAGAGACGGATCGAAGTCTAAATTCAATAATCAAATTTGTAACTACTGTAAGAAAAAGGGGCACTTGAAGAATGATTGCTACAAGTTGCAGAATAAAGAAAAGATGGCTGCAAGTAGACATTTAGATACTTCAGGC